CAGCCAGCCAGATTCCCACATTCACACTAAAAACACTGACTAGTGTCCACCATGCTTGGGTATGGAGTTCCCCAAAGGGATCCAGACTATGTTTATTTCTGCCTTTTTGGAACTGATTGTGAAGTCAAGATAAATGGGGGTCAGAATTACCTACAAAACCTTGACAGGATGTAGCTCAGTAGCTCAGTGGTGGAACACTTGGCTGACATGGGCAAAGCCCAGCCTCAGCAATGGAAAACAAACCACACACAAAGAACTCATTAGTCTCTAATGGGGGCATAGGCAGAGGTAGGTACAGGTGGCTGGCATTTCTATCTGTCCATGGCTGCTCTGGTCAGCTTTCTTCTCCAGAGGCATGTTCATGGACCTGAATCTGGATCTGAGGCCTCTCCCTTCCATCACAACACCAAGCTTAACTACTCACACGCTGGCTGGCCCATGTCTTACCTACCTTCTGCCTGGATGTTTTGCCTTGACAAATTCAGTGAAACATGTGTTCTCTCTAGCTTGGGGTATGTTGGACCTCTGGCCGCCTCACCCCCTGAACCTTTTTTTTTTTTTTTTTTTTTGAGACAGGGTCTTATGTAATCCAGGAGAACTTCAAATTCACTAAGTAGCTGAGGATGACCTTGGACTCCTGACTATCCTGTTTTTATTTCTATTTTATTTTGTTTATACAGGCATGCATTGCTATGTCTCATTTGTGTGGCACTCGAAATAGAACCCAGGGCCTTGAACAGGCCAGGCAAACACTTAACCCACTTGGCTATATACCCAGTCCCTCCTTATTTTTTTTTTTTTGGTTTTTCGAGACAGGGTTTCTCTGTGGCTTTGGAGGCTGTCCTGGAACTCGATCTGTAGACCAGGCTGGTCTCGAACTCACAAAGATCCACCTGCCTCTACCTCCTGAGTGCTGGGATTAAAGGCGTGCACCACCACTTCCTGGCTGGCCTGGGACTCTTGATGATCCTGCTATATCTACCTTCTAAGTGCTGAGATTATGTGTGAGAACCTTACAATGAAGACCACTCAGGAACTTAATTTCTTTCTGAGCAAAAGAGGTAGAGATAGAACCAGATAGCAGCAAGCAAGTGACCTTCCCAGGACTCCATGGCTTAGAGTAATCCTATTTTTGAGAAACATAGAGGATATTTCCGGAATCAAAGAGGTATTTCTGGGCTGGTGAGATGGCTCAGGGGGTAAAGGGGCTTTCTGTGCAAGCCTAGTGACCTGAGTTCAGTCCCTGGGACCCGTGTAGAGGTTGAAGGAGGAAATGATGCCTTTGTTCTTTGACATCTACATGTATACCATAGCATGTGTACCCACACAAAAGTCAAGCACAACGCAAAATAATAATAAACAAAGCCTTTCTTCCTCCTCCTCTTTGTTCTTTTTGTTTGGTTTCTCAAAACAGGGTCATTTCTCTGTGTAGTCCTGGCTTTCCTGGAACTCACTTTGTACACCAGGCTGGCCTGGAACTCAGAGATCCTCCTGCCTCTGCCTCCCGAGGGCTGGGATTAAAGGCGTGCGCCACCACTGCCTGCCATCAAGTTTTTCAAAAAGAGGTTCTTTGGAGCTGGAGAAATGGTTCATTAGTTAAGAGTGTATAATCACCATTGCAGAGGACCTTAATCCAGGTCCTGATACCCATGTCTGGAGAAATGGTTCATTAGTTAAGAGTGTATAATCGCCATTGCAGAAGACCTTAATCCAGGTCCTGATACCCATGTCTGGAGAAATGGTTCATTAGTTAAGAGTGTATAATCCCCATTGCAGAGGACCTTAATCCAGGTCCTGATGCCCATGTCTGGAGAAATGGTTCATTAGTTAAGAGTGTATAATCGCCATTGCAGAGGACCTTAATCCAGGTCCTGATACCCATGTCTGGTAACTCACAGCTGTTTTAACTTCAGCTCCAGAGGAAGACAATGCCTCCAGCCTCCCTGGGCACTGACACTCACACATACATATTCACATACAGGCCCATGCACATAATTAAAATAATAAATCTTTAAAAACAAAGAAGAGGCAGGTGGATCTCTGAGTTCCAGGTCAGGCTGGACCGACAGCCTCCAAAACAATACAGAGAAGCCCTGTCTCGTAAAAACCAAAAATAAAAAAATAAAAACAAAGAAAAACAAACAAAAAAATAAGTATGAGGCTATTCCCAAAGTACTAAGTGGAGTCGCCTTAAAACCTGGAAATTCCCTTCCAAAGCAAAACTCCAAGAACAATGAAACACAATCACACAAAACCTTGTACGTGGGTGTTCCTAGTAGCTCTAATAATTATAGCCAGAAAGTGGACATTGCCCACAGGTTCTCCAGTGGTCTTGCACATGGAGGAACTCAAAGATACTAAAAGGAATGGAGCCTCTGTGTGCAGCACCATGGAAGAACCCTCAAGAAGCTAGAAGTAAATTGACAGACACCAAATGAGTCCATTTCAAGGACACAGACCTGAAAGTTCAGAGAGGCAAAAAGTGCATTGGCGGCTTGCCTATCAGTGGGCACATCGGTAGAGAGAAAACATGGAATGACTGCTGATGATCTAGGATTCTTTTTGAGGATGATAAAAATGTTCAGAAACTGATAGGTGTGAGTTGAATCAGTGGTTAAGAGTACTGACCGCAGCCAGGTGGCAGTGGTGCACACCTTTAATGCCAGTCCTCTGGAAGCAGAGGCAGGCAGATCTCTGAGTTCGAGGCCAGCCTGGCCTATAAGGCTATACAAAGAAACCCTGTCTTGAGAAACCAAACCATACCAAAGGGAAAAAAAAAGGTAATAGCTGTTTTTACAGAGGACTTGGGTTCAATGTCCAGCACCCACATGGTGTCTCACAACTGTTTGTAACTTCAGTCCCAGGGGACCAGGTACACTAGGCACATGTGATACACACACATACATGCAGGCAAAGACTCATACAAATAAAATAAAATACAGAATAAGATGTAAAACTGATAGTCGTAATTGCACAGCATGATGAAAATTCTGGAAGTCAGTGACCCCTGGCTTTGGATAGTATGTGAATTTTACCTCACAAAGTTGTTACACCAAACACTCTGCAGTCAGGATCTAGATTTCTTTTCTACAAAGAAGGAACAAAAATTTGGGGACAGCTCGAGCCTGTGGCCACAGGCTAGAGGAAGGGACTTAAGGCCCTCTCCTGCTTCCCTAAAGGATGAGCTTGCATTTCCCACTCCTGAGTTCCCTGGCCTCCTTCAGTTGTGCTCTGCTGTGGAACCTTTATACCATTAAGTCACTCTGTCTTCTGCCTGGAATGCATTTACCTCCTTGCCTGGCCACCACCCTCAGAAAGCCTTCTCTAACTCTTCATTAATCTGAATTTATTAAGTATTCATCGCACAATAGGATCCACAATGGGAGACCTTGGTTCACGTCACCCTGGATGTTGCCAGATTTGTACCCATTTCCACCAAGAGAGCCAGAGAGAAGAAAGAGAAAGGGGGCCAGCTTCCAAACTCTCAACTCATCTCACTATTCTGGGCCAATGTCTCCTGGGAAGTCTTCAGCCCGTGGGGAAGGCTCCCTGTAAAGGAAATGGTGGGAATTTAGCCAGACTTAGCCAGTGCAGGGGAGATGGGAGAGTTACTACGGTATACATTTGGGAATGAGCGTAGGGATTTAGAGTCCCAAGTGGCGACAGCTCAGACTGTGTAGGTGCAATACTGCAGCGTGGGACCTCCCTAGGAGTGCTCTGAGAACCAGCATGTCTGCAACAAATCCCATTTACAGTTAGACCTGAAGAAGAACTTCCTGGGCTCTTGCATGTACTAACATGCTTCCCAGACAGTGCTGTGCGGGAAAACCCGCCCACAGGACTGCTGGCACCAGCTTGCCCTGACAAGAAATGTAGCCTGGTATCTGGGACCGGGTTTGGATCCAGCTGCCCTTGGGGTGGAAACTAAATGTCTATGGGTCATTGAAGTTCTCTATCCCTCAGCGTGATAAGCCCACAGTGATGAGAAACTTCTAGATGCCGTGAAGCCCAGGGACAGCTGGTTAATAAACAGAACATAGCGCAGAGGCTGGAGAATGAAGTCAGGGACTGCACGGAGCAGCCAGGAAAGCTAGACTGCGGCAGAAAGATTTAGGCATAGTTACCTTTTCCCCGGGTCGGGACTGCTTATTGGTCCTCCTGGAGTCTACTTTCCTCCTACTCCTTCCTAGCAAGCAGCTCTGTGGACCCGGTGAGCCTGAACAGGAGATGGGGGAGAACTTCCTGCAGTGTTCTGGACTGGCAGGTTCCACACATGTGGGGGCCCGGGAACCTCTCCATACTCAGGAGGCTTCACAGACAGAATCTGGGTGCCTCCTCTGTCTCCTAGTACAGGGCTCTCCAATCTTCTGGGGGAGCTACATTGAATATTCCCGAAGGGGTCACTGATATCTTGGGGAGGCCAGCTCTCTCGGTCACCCGGACTCTAAAATGGTCAATTGACCATTCGACAAGCTCTCTCCACGGGGCAGCGCTCCCACTCTAGTGGATGGCTAAGTTGGCAAGGAGTGGGCATTCCTGCCCCAGTCTCAGAATTGGGGACCTCCTCTGCGCAGGATGCCTGCCCGGGTTCATCTTCCCTGCGCAGTCGGATTCCTGGACCTCCAGGGTTTGCAGAGTCTCCCAGCGATGAGGCTCCCGCTTCAGGGAACCAGAGATGAGTCCGCACACCTGTCGCCCTGATCCCAAAGGACAGGTCAGGCAGGGTGTCTCTCTCGCTAAACCTTGTCTCTGCTTTTGTCCCTCCCTGCCACCGCATTCCCGTAGTGTAAGAGCGAAGACTCTGTAGCCAAGTGAGCCGGAGACCAGCTCAGGAGTGTCGAGGACAGCCGGAATGGCTCCCACTGGAGCTCGAAGTTAACTGGAGTCTGCGAGTCTCAGGCGTGGCCTGGGCTCGGGACGGGGAGGGGCATCTCGGCCCCGCCCCGCCCCCGTCCTTCTCGCACTCCGGGGTGGCGAGGCTGCTGAGCTCAACCCAGAAACCCGGCGCCCTCGGGCTGAGCGTGAGACAGTCGGGATGCGCGTCTGTCTGCGATCCCGGCTCCCAGGCCTGGGCGCTGCGCGACCCCATGGCAGGTAGCGGCGGCCTGGGCGGGGGAGCCGGTGACCTCCAGGGCGTGGGGCCGGGGCAGGGGACTGCACTGCGTGGTCCCCGTGCTCCGCTGGCGCTCGTAGCTCTGTTGCTAGGCGCCTACTGCCTTTTTGCCCTCCAGGGCCGCTGTCCACCTGTCGCCCGCACCCCTGCACCGGTTCCCGCGTCCGCGGAGCCGCCCCACGCCTCCCGCCGTCTGGGAGCGCCAGGTCTGCCGGTGGCCAGCGGCCCGGGACGCCGGCGCTTCCCGCAGGCGCTCATCGTGGGTGTGAAGAAAGGCGGCACGCGCGCGTTGCTGGAGTTCCTGCGGCTGCACCCTGACGTCCGTGCACTTGGCTCTGAACCCCACTTCTTCGACAGGTGCTACGACCGTGGGCTCGCCTGGTACCGGTGAGCGCCCCTGTTGGTCTGTGTGAGCCTTGGACTGTGCTTTCTGCTCAAGGGCGTCGTGCTATCCCGGAACTCAGGACGAATAGGGTAGAATCCTGGGCATCCGGTCTGAAATAGGCCTGTTGGAGAAACAGACCTGAACTCATAGATGTGGCTCCCAAAGGAAAGGCAATTTATAGTCAAGGGTCCCAGGGATTAGAAATCCTCAGGGAAAATCCTGTTCTGCTGTAGGGTGGACTGAGAGACTCAGCAAGGTGTGATCTTAGCTGGAAAGTATTTTCAAAGCAGTGAGATAACCGGGTAGGTAGACTTTCCTTTTTAGAGGATCGGGCACTGGGGACTGAACCTGGAGCCTCATATGTACTGAACAAATATTCCACCACTAAGCTATTAATATATGCCCATATGTTATTATGGAGCATATTAATATAACCCCAGTGGGACTCTTTGGGAGCCCTAGAAATAATTGGAGCTCAGTCACCTTATTTTTGTGCTCCCCCCATTATAAGTCTATAACAGTGTGGGTAACTGTCTGACCACTAGTCAAGTATATTAGGAAGGGTCTCCAGGTTTCCAGAAACTTTCTAGAAAGTGCCTTTGCACCCTCAAGAACCTCTCCCCACCCTCCATCAGGTGAGCCCTTCTTGGCTGCTTGAGTCTGGAGAAAGTCAGATCTGGGTTTTGGAGAGGGAGACGCTGCCCTGTAGTACAGCCCAAGGGTAGGGATTGGAATATTTGCATACAACCTTCTCCCGCCCAGGGTAGATAGGGTGCAGCAGTGGAATGTGGGGAGCACCACCCCAGCTGTAGCAGTGTGTCCTGGTCAACCCTTTCCCTGCTGAGTCTGGTATTAGAGGCTGGATGTAGGTCCCACACACTGCCTCCTGTAGCTGTGCAGACACTGAGGGTACCCTGTCCCTTCCTGTGGGGAAATGGGGGTCTATAGACTGGCTTGCTTCATCTACAAGTTCATGCTGAGCCAAGGTCACCTGGAGGACCAGTGGGGTGTCAGGGCACACCAGCTTCTGTTTCTGGGGTCCTTCCTCACTTTTCTTCTGCATTAAGACTGGCAGATTTGGGAGGTGACAAGCTCCCGAGCTCTGAAGGGTTGTGCTACCTGAGGAGAGGCTCTTGGAAACACCGACATTTCAAGCATGGGAGTAGGGAGTGTTCAGGACAGTATCCCACATTTGTAGAGTCCATCTGGAAGTAGTACATAGGCTGCTGGGGAGGAGTGAAACCCATTGCCTCCATCCCATTCATCGGGGTCACACTCTGTGGCTTGCCGAGTCAGATTTGCTCAGAAGTGTGGAGTGAGCTGGATAGCCTGGCTGAGCTTCTGGACTGTGTAGCCTAGTGCCTTTGCCTGGCTATAGCCACAAGGGTTTACTGTGCTCTCTAGTAACCACTCCACAGCTAATATTCTCATGTATGCACTGAGTCTCTAAAAATTACCACCTATGACTCAGTATCTCCAGTCCTGGGACCTGGGCTGAGCCCCCAGAACCTGCAGAACTCTGTCCAAGTATGGGTTGAGGGGAAGGAGCAGCCGCTGAGGCTCTGGAATACTGCTCCTATTGGGCTGTGATCTGCCTTATCCAGGCAGGGGCCTGATCATCCACTGCAGAGGGGTCCTGGGTTGCCTTTCTCCCAACCATTCTCTTCCCTGGTTCTCCATTACATCATTCCAGTGGCTTTGTTGTTGCTTTTGGGGTCTCTCGTGGCTCAGGTTGGCCTCAGATTCCCTCTGTTGCCAAGGGCGAGGCTGAACTTCTGATTCTCTTGCTTCTGCCTCATGAGTGCAGGGGATTACAGGTATCTCTGTTATAGGCACCACTATGGTGTGTGTGTGTGTGCGCGCGCGCGCGCGCGCGAGAGAGAGAGAGAGAGAGAGAGAGAGAGAGAGAGAGAGAGAGAGAGAGAGAGAGAGAGAGAGAGAGAGAGAGAATATGCTGATATGGACATATAGGTCAGAGGCTAACTCCCAGGAGTCTTCTCTCCTCCCATTTCCAATGTGGGGATTGAATTTAGTCAACAGATTTGCATGGCAAGTACTTTTACTTGCCGAGCCGAGTCATCAACCCAAGAGGACTTACTTTGTTTATTTTTGTTTTTATTTTTGAGACAGGATCCCATTTATGCAGTTCTGGCTGGCCTGGAATGTTCTGTGTAGACCAGGCCAGCCTTAAACTCAAAGAGATCCAGGCTCATGCCCCCACACCCCGCCTCTGGCTGGCTTTTATGCAGGTCTAGGAGTTGAACTCAGGGCTTGTGCACATTAGGCAAATACTATGCCAACTGAATCACACCACCAGCTTCTTAGGCTTTAAAGGATCTTCCATCTTGGGGACCATGGCTCCTGACCACTCTCAAAATCATACAGCATTTACCTACTGAATAGTAATCTTAAGGTTTAGGGTGCCTGTCAGGCTATGTTTTTTGAAAAATCAAGAAAGGGTAAAGAGGGCTGGAGAGATGGCTCAGAGGTTAAGAGCACTGACTGCTCTTCCAAGAGTCTTGAGTTCGATTCCCAGCAACCACATGGTGGCTCACAACCATCTACAATTCAATTTAGTGCCCTCTTCTGGCATGTAGGAAGAACAGTGTATATGTAATAAATACATAAATCTTAAAAATAAATAAATATGTAAAAAAAAAGAAACGGTAAAGAGGGGTACAGGTAGGGAAATCCCTGTAACTCCTGGGGTTTAAGATCAGGCCATGGAGCCGGGCATTGGTGGCGCACACCTTTAATCCCAGCACTCGGGAGGCAGAGGCAGGTGGATCTCTGTGAGTTCGAGGCCGGGCTGGACTGACAGCCTCCAAAACAATACAGAGAAACCCTGTCTTGTAAAACCAAAAAAAAGAAAAAGAAAAAAAAAAAAAAAGAAAAGATCAGGCCATGGGTGTGTCTGGGTATGCAGGAGGAGGGGCTGAGCTGTCTTCCTTCCTGTGACTGGGGACTTGGTTCCCTAGCACTGTCTGACACTGGGTTAAGATCCCAAACCAGTTTCCCCTGGGCTCCTTGGATCTGGCCCAAGTGAGGTGTGGGATACAGTGGTGGTGCTGGAGGGGCTGGGCAAGCCGGGGGCGTGGTCTCAGGCTGGCTGGGAGCCACCTAGAAACGCAGACCAGATGGGATGGGTGCCACAGGAGGGAAGGTTTATGGAGCAACTTGACAGAGCTCTGTTCTGCTTGTTCTCACTTTCCGAACACACTGATCTCTTCTCCATGCTCCCTGGGCAAGGCTTCCGAGGCTCATGGAGGATGATTGATGCCAAAGATGTCAGGTTGCAGAAGGGCTTGGGGCTGGTTCTCAGACCTTGGAGTTGTGCCCTAAAGTCTCTGAACTTTCCCTGGCAGTATGTGAACCCTGACTATACAAGGTAGAGTATTGGGGGCAGGGGCTCTGGGAACAGGAACCGCTTGGAATTTCCCCTTTCAGGTGGGCCAGGAGGAGGTCTGAGGCCTATGGTATCCCCTCAGCCCTTCCTATTCCTTCTCAGCCTTAAGAGACCTACCTGTCAGATGGGTCAGGGGGCTCACTGGGTCACTGTGTCATCCAGATGGAGGAAGGAGACACATATACCCTGATAACTTCTACAAACCAGCTTTGCCGGGATCCACATGTCACTCACCTCTCTCTGCTTTGGTCATGGGTGAAGTCAGGAGCTTGGCACTGCTGGGGGTCTCCCTCACACTCTCTCTAACAAGGTCTTGTGTAGTTTAGCTTGTTTTCAAATTCTCATCATAGCCGCCTCAATGCCCAGAGTCTCTCGATTCTAGACGCGTACCACCGTATCTGGGCCTGATCTCACTCTTGCCTGACCTAATGCTGTAGGTGCACATACCCCCACCCACTGTCAGCACCCTCAAACCAAGCACCCCAGCATGGCACCTGTGCATTTTGGCCTGTGTTTTCTTGGGCTCCTGAACAGAGAAGAGAATGAAGATCTGTGGGTCAGTGAAGCTGGGCTTAGTCCAGTGTGTCAGCTTGGCCAGAGTGGGACCCCGGGGGTTGTCAGTAAGGTGTGGAAAGTATCCCTAAGAGGATGGGAGCCATGGCTGGACCAGGGTCTCTGAGTTCCACTGCCTCTGCCTCTGTTGACCGAGCTCCTGGCTTTCCTTTGGAGCTGTTTGCTCAGCTCCCCTCCCTCACTGTGTACTAACTGGCTGGCAGGTGCAGCCTGAGGACACCACTCAGGGTGCCTGGGCCTGCCCGGGCTCTGTGTGGACTTCCCTCGGTTGGGCTTGGCTGTAGTCAGCTGATTTTCTCTGAACATTGGATTAGGCCAACACTCTCCTCCAGAATGGAGGAAATTTCAGAAATGCTGGCACTTGGTACCGTAGGGCCACTACAGGACTTCAGGAGAGGCCCCAAGTAGATCAGAGCCATATCAGTAACTTTCTTAAGGGTGCTGGACTCTGCTGGTGACTGTTTTGTGTTCTTAGCTGGGCCCAGAGAGACACTTGAAGGTCAAGAGGGGATGTAATTAAATTTAGGGGAGGGAGAGGCGAGTCTTTGGTAGTTACATTTGTCAGTAATTATTGATGACCTAATTCATGGACAATGATTACAGTAAAGAGGCCTGCAGGGTCTGTGCTGGTCGAGGTTGGGCACAGCAGCTTTGGAAGGGGCGGGTCTCTGGCATGGGACTTGTCAGGATGTGGAGGTGGCACTTCAGGGTTAGGGTCATAAACCTTGAAGAATGTCTTGGTGGCCATTGTCCTCCAAGGCTGTCACTTTGTTTATCCTAGAGCTTCACTGACTAGGACAACCCTGGCTTTGGGCTCTACTGTTGTCCCACACCAGACTGGACACACAGCACTTTAGGAGGGTGAGCCCAAGAGGGTAGAGTGATAGCTTCTCTTGGCATGGGCCTCCCTCAGAGGAGGAGAGGTTGGTTCCTGGTCCCCGATGGCTGAGCTGGCTGGGAAGGAAAATGGCTTTAGCAGGAATGTATGTTGGAGGCTGGAGAGATGCACCAGCTACTCTTCCAGAGGGCACGGGTTCAATTCCCAGCACCCACATGGCAGCTTACAACTGCCTGGCACCCTTGCACAGACATACATGCAGGCAAAAATGTCAATGCACATAAAAATAAATAAATAAAAATAAACCTTTAAAAAAAGAGAGAGGAACAAAAACAGAAATGTATGTTGTGGATCCCTCAATTACTCTTCCTGCTATTCCACAGGGGTCTGATGCCACGTACCCTGGATGGGCAGATCACCATGGAGAAGACCCCCAGCTACTTTGTGACTCAGGAGGCTCCCCGCCGAATCCACAACATGTCCCCAGACACCAAGCTGATTGTGGTGGTGCGGAACCCTGTGACCCGGGCCATCTCTGATTATGCCCAGACACTCTCCAAGACCCCAGGCCTGCCTAGCTTCCGTGCCCTGGCCTTCCGCCATGGCCTGGGTCCTGTGGACACAGCCTGGAGTGCTGTGCGTATTGGCCTCTATGCCCAGCACTTGGACAACTGGCTACGATACTTCCCTCTGTCCCACTTCCTGTTTGTCAGCGGAGAGCGCCTGGTCACTGATCCAGCTGGTGAAGTGGGCCGGGTACAGGACTTCTTGGGCCTCAAACGGGTTGTCACTGACAAGCACTTCTACTTCAATGCTACCAAGGGCTTCCCCTGCCTCAAAAAGGCCCAGGGCAGTGGCCGCCCCCGCTGCCTGGGTAAATCCAAGGGCCGGCCTCACCCCCAAGTGCCAGAGGCTGTGGTTCAGCGCCTTCAGGCTTTCTACCGGCCCTTCAACCGAAAGTTCTACCAGATGACTGGCCAGGACTTTGGCTGGGACTGATCAAACTCAGCTTTTCCCTGGATACCCAGTAACTTTAATTATGTCTGTCTGCCTGGCTAAGTGTAGAGAGAGTATTTAAGAAATAAACCCCAGATCTGTTTTCTTCCACTTGGGCCCTATCTCTGTCAGACAGATTGTATGGTGACTTGCCCTGGGAGGTAGTCAGTGTCCTTGGTCACGTGTCACAGAGGAACATGTGAGGCTTAGAGAGATTGAGCGCCTACCCAGTGACACAGGTGGCTCTGGAGGCTATCCACAGCTTCTCCAGCCCTCGGAGGCAGAGCAGGGTTGTCCTCTAGGATGAGAGCAGGCGCCAGGCTCCTGAGTGGTGGAGCAACACAAAGCTGGTTTAGCCAACGGTGTGCACCGTATCCACTGCCTGGTTTATTCCTAGTCCCACCTGGGAGCCTGATGGCTGGGAAGTGAGTAGCCAGTGAGCAGGTACTTTTTTTTTTTTTTTTTTTGAGACAGGGTTTCTTTCTGTAATAGTCTTGTCTGTCCTGGAACTCTCTCTGTAGACCAGGCTGGCCTTGAACTCACAGAGATCCGCCTGCCTCTGCCTCCCGAGTGCTGGGGTTAAAGGTGTGCGCCACCACCTCACTGCGAACAGGTACTTCCAGCAGCCACCATGTAGTTCCAGTAGACCCTATCAATACCTGGCTCTGCCCACCAGGCATCACTCCCACAATGCTGTGCCTACTCGATAGATCCCTGTCTCTATCCTGTACACCCCCAGCAGGGCAGAGCAGGAACCAGTACCCAGCAGCAACCATTGCCCATTCCTAGTCAAAAGAGGCTAGGTTTCTTCTGTTCCAGATGCCCTCCAGCTGTCCTGAGAATGACCTCTGAGGCCACTTAAGCCATGCCATACCTGCACTGTCCCAGGCCTGCCTAAGGGCCTGGCTGTGGCCTTTGTATCTAAGACTGTCCTTGGCTGTGATGTGGCTTTCCCCACTCTGAGATGCTTAGGGTTACTTCTTGTCCCTTGGGGAAGAGAATATTTGCTGGGGATGAGGATAGTTTGTCAGCACCCACCTCACTGGGGTGTCAAGGTTCACTTCCAGCTAAAGGTCCTACAGGACACCATAGCAACTATTTTAGCAACTATTTGGTCACATGACCCGATCAGCAGCATAGGCATAGAGTCTTTGCCAAGAAGCTCAAGGAGAGGAAGCAGAAGGACCCAGGGCAGGCTGCAGGGCCCTGCCTTTACTCAGTGCTTCTGAGCTTACACTCCTGTCTAGGGCTGCCCTCAGGGGCTGGTGATTTCTCCAGGCCGTGTTGCCCTGGGCCAGGCTAGTGGGGTTGGGAGCTGGTACTGTCTTTCCTTTCAGCACCCACAGACCAGCTACCACGGCAACATGCTGGGCAGATGTTGGTCTAGATGCAGACCCAGGCTGATGTGGGTGATAGGAGACACACTCCACGCCTGGCCCTGGTAAATGGTACTAATGAGATTGGTGACTGTCTTTGTTCCCTGGGCCAGAGGCAGGAAGGAGGGCAGGGAACCTCAGCTCCTGTGCCAGGTGCAAGCCCGTTTCTCCCTGGACAGTCCCAGGGATCTTACCACCACCCTGAGCCACTGTTGTCTGTTGGAATGGTGTCTTCAGCAGATCCCATTATTTTAAACTGTTCTCATCCCCAGTCCCACACCTATTACTTCTAGGATTTCCAGGATGAAGGCTAGATGTTCAACTGCAGCTGTTAAACTCCCTCCCACCCTTTCCCACCCCACTTTTTTGTTTGGTTTTGAGACAGGGTTTCTCTGTGTAGCCCTGGCAGTCCTGGAATTCACTCTGTAGACCAGGCTGCCCTTGAACTCACAGAGATCCGCCTGCCTCTGCCTCTCGAGTGCTGTGATTAAAGGCATGTGCCACCACTGTTAAACCCCTTTTAAAGTTTACCTCTCCTGTTTTGCCTGCTCCCTCAGCTCTGAGTTCCTGTTCCCGGTTCCCTGCCAGCTCCATCTCTCTGTCATGCTTCTTCACAAGCTTTGAATGTACTGTTTTTTCAGCCCAGATACTTCTCTGCAGACGAGTCAGATAAAGCAGGAGGGCATGCGAGGCAGGGACAACCGTGAGCTGGGCGACTGTGCCTCCACTCTGGTTTTCCTGCTCCTCTCCCCATGTCTAGAGCTCTTTGTCTAAGACCACCGAGGTGGGATCTTGTCCCTCCATGGAGGTTTATTGGATGCAGTGCTGTGAGGGCACCGTAGCCTGGGCCCAGGCTCTAAGGGCAGTTTCTAGATGCCGCAAAAGGGGAAAGCTGGACTGGTGAGTTCTGCTCACACCCGCCCAATGGAAACTTAGCCTGAGGGCCAACACCCAGTTCGAGGTGCCCAGCTGGGCCTCAGAACACATTGTGGGCAGATGTGGTGGGTCTTACAGGCTGTGTGGAGGTGGAGCTCCTTGGGGGGAGTCATCGGCCTTTAATTAAAGTCCCTAAATTGCTTCCCCAGCTGCTCTGTGGGTTTTCCGTGTTGGAATGTTCCAGATGGAGTGAGAAGTGCTGATTCAATTACCTTCTTCCTGTCTTGACCAGTGGAGAAGTGGCCTGATATCCTTTCTCCTGCTCTCAGCTAGACAGGGATGGAGTAGGAGGGGACAAGGCTCCTTACTGCCCTGGGTCTAAGAAGGGGCTTGGAGATGTCTTGGGACAAGGCTGCTTTTATCTGTAGGATCATCTTGCTCCAACCTCCTGGCGATACCTGGCCTAGGCAGGGGTTGCTAGGCAAAGACAGTGTCCTTGCTCCTGGCTTTGTGGTGTTGTATAAAACAGGCTCTGAGATCCTGGACAGACTCTGGCCTGAGTGCCCAAGGTCAAGGTGAGGGGGGAGGGAAAGAAAGCACGGGGACCTACCTCTCTCTGTGGCCTGGATATACTTTTCCTGCATGAAGACTTATCCTAGGACACCTACCAAGTGCTGGCGCCTTGCCCACCCTTCTCATTTGTCAGTCTCTTGAAAAAAATCATTACAATCTCACCCGTCCCAGAGGTCTGCCAGACCTTGGCAATAAGGTCAAGACAGGATCTGGTAGTTCTGGGAGCACTGCAAGGCTGAACTTGCTGACCCCTCCCCCCTGTCAGTGAGGTGAGCCTGAGGTCTCTAGTTGTGGGTGGTCTCTCTTTGAAGGGCTGAGCCAACCTCCGTGGTCAGGGCATGGTCAGAGCATCAGAGGCAGGCAGCCCCTGGCTTGCTTCCTTTCAAGGGTGTGTTGGGCAGGGCAGGGCTAGGAGAAGGAGGGGCTGGATTCCATGCCCTCCAATCACCCAGGGAACACCTATGAGTCCCTTGTATCCCAGGATGAGGGCTGCTTTGGCTACAGGTCTTATACTACTGGTCCTCATAACTGATCTCCTAGTGACCTATGATGGACAAGTTTGGGTCTAGAGGTCACCCTCAGGGGACCTGAGGGACTTCACCCTCCCCACCTGTCCAGGATCCCTATGCCTGAGTCAGCCTGTCCTGGGTGTTTGCTTCTGTTAGGGAGCTGCCAGACTGTGGTTTCCAAGTACAGCACTTTAGTCCAGCTGAAGATGGAGTAGGGCCAGTGTGAGGCCTCTAGTGGTTTAGTTTTCAGCCACCTCGAAGTTTTCAGTGCAATTCCTGAAGCTATGTGGAGAGGGACTGGGACTGTGCTGCCATCTTGAATGTTAGAGACTCTGCATCCACCAGGAAAAGATCACAGACACCCAAATTACAATTAAATACATTTATTATTAATTACTGCAAGCAGGACAACAGCCTTAAAACCAAACCAAAGATGTGCCATGCAGAAGGAGCTTTTTAAAGGCGGAGATGACAGTTACCGTTTTTTTTCTGGAATATGCAGCTACCGAGGTGCTGTTCCTCTTACTCCCTGTTACATAAGCAGGTTTGCAAAAGCCAGAGCAAGCACTTTTACAATTCTGGGGAGGGGGTAAGGAGTCCAGGCTGCCGGGAGCTTATCTGTTAGGAATTTAGCATGGGTGCCTAGCACAAATTGGAGTTTTCCTTAGCCATCACAATGAACCTGCAGGACTCCCATTTCTAAAAGTTTCCTCACCAAGTGGGGATAAGGGGGTGAGATAAAAGGACAGTAATGTCCTGGTGCAGCTTTGGGCAAGTGATGGTTGGTTTTGTTGTTTTTTGTTTTTTTCAAGACAGGGTTTCAAGACAGCTCTTACTGTCCTAGAACTCACTTTGTAGATCAGGCTGGCCTTGAACTAAGAAATTCACTTGCCTCTGCCTCCCGAGTGCTGGAATTAAAGGCGTGCACCACCCCACACAGCAAGATGGTTGATTTTAGCATCCATTTTGCCATAGATTAGAGTCACCTGACTAGGGAGCTCCACCTGGAGGATTGTGCCGATCACCTTAGTTTAGCAATTCTCGTGTGGCCTGTGGGTCTCGACTCTGATCCTTTCACAGGGGCCACCTAAGACCATCTGAAAACACAGACATTACATTATGATTCATAACAGTAGCAAATTACAGTTATGAAGAGCAACAAAAGTAATTGTATGGTTGGGGGTCCCAGCGTTAGGAAGGCTGGGAACCAGTGCCTTAGCTGATTCATGAAGACTCACCCTGAATGTGGGCAGCATTTTCTGATAGCAGCTCAGAATTTTTGTTTGTTTTGTCTTATGAGACAGGATTTCTACATAACCCTTGCTGTTCTTAAACTCACTCTGTAGACCAGACCGGCCTCTAACTCACAGAGATCTGCCTGCTGAGTGCTGGGATTGACGGTGCGTGCCACCACTCCCAGCACAGCTCAGCGTTTTAGAAGGGTGTGGCAGGAGGAAGAATGTTTCACCTCTTTGCTCACTTTGCTTTTTGCTTGCTTTAAGCAGGAAGGTCAGTCCAGTCCTTGTCATTCCATCTTAGCCAAAAGTGGAAGAGGAGAGAGCTTCAGATGTGTGAGAGACAAATGAGGATGTATGAGTGTGTGTGTGAGTGTGAGTGCATGTATGAGTGTGCGTGTGAGTGTGCGTGCGCGAGCGCGCGTGTGTGTGCACGTGTCTGTGCACGTGTCTGTGCACGTGTGTGTGCCTGTGTGTGAAGAAGGGAGAGGCATGGTGCCACTCACCTACAATCAAGAGTTCAAGGTTGTCAGACGTTGGTG